TAGACTACTATATATTTTTAGGTAACACTCTATTTATTACCTTCAATACAAATTAAAATTCCTGTTTAATTTCTTGACAATGGTATTAATTTCATATTGAGCCCTTCAATTGTGAAGTATTGCTAAGTCATGTTCTTAACTATTGTGATAATTGATGAAGATTTACTATCAGTATTGATATTTTGTAATTTTATAAAAAATATTTTTGTCTTACACTGCTCTATTTCTTAGCTGTTCAACCATCACTGCTATAGCTAAAAAACTATGAAACACTTGATATTATGAAGTATTTTGTGGTTTTCTTATATGTACTGACATTTAATAATAGTGACCAAATTGTTAAGAAAACTTTGTATATTAACCTCAAGAAAGAGATTTACCATGTAGAGTCCTCCTATCTATCTCCTATGTTTTTTCTGTAACAACCCCAAGCGGACTTCTCATGTCTTAGAGGTTTGAAATGCTTCACACACATATTCCTAAACCAAACACTGACAAGGAAGATGGGAGAGCCGTGATTGGCTTAGACTAATTAAGATTCAAGGTACATGTTTTCTTAATAGACAAAAAAATATGGAGCTTTTCCTTACCAGTAAATAATGGTTACAAGGTTGGCAATCTGCATCTGTAACATAATTACAGTGATTTTTCTTGCATTATATACTATTTTCAGGCTTAGGGTGCCTGGGTGGCTCAGTCGGTTGAGGTCAGGTCATGATCTCGCAGCTCAGGAGTTTGAGCCCTGCATCAGGCTCTCTGCTTTCAGCACAGATCCTCTGTCTCCCTCACTCTCTGCCCCTCACCTGCTCCATGCATGTGCTCTCTCTCTCAAAAATAAAATATTTATATATTGTTTCCAGGGTAGAAAGGCTAGTCCTTTAAATGGTCTAATGGCAAATGACCCTATTATCAACTTCTCTTTTTTTCATCTACTGTTACCTTCCAGTCCTCCAGGGGTCCCTGAGACTCATCATGATTTCTTTTTCCTTCTATTAGAACCTCCTCTGAGGAAATAATACAAATTCAACCACATGGAATTCCAAAAGTCAGAATAAGACTTAATATATTACCATCTGTGGCAGGCAGGGTAATGGCCTCCTAAACACATTCCATTCATGTCCCAATGCCCAGAACTTGTGGATATGTTAGGGTACATGGCAAAAATGGCAGATGGAATTAAGGTGACCAAAACTGATATAGTGACACACGTCAGACTTATACCCTGCAGAACTGTAAAGCAAATTTGTCCTGTGTTAAGCAACTAAGTTTGTGGTGATTTGTTACTGTTCCTGCAGCAATAGAACACTAACACATTATCCAAAAAAATATTTATATTTCACCATTTGCTTGATATTAGAGCTCTACTGGTTGTAGTAGACAGAAACCCAAATCAAAACAAAAAAAGGACCTACTGGTTCACATAATCAAAGTGTGGAAAAGACAGACACGGAGCTGCATCAAGAAGGCCTAGAACCAAGACACCAGTGTCACCCCCCCATCCCAAACTGCTGTCTTCTGTGTATTAGTTATATCCACTCAAACCAGCTCAGTTGGGAACTTGGCCAACCACAGCTCTGGACTCATCACCATGGCTGGGGATGAGATGCTATGATGGCCGAAATGTAGGTGTCCCCATAAGGAGGGAGTTAGGGCATCAGTACAGATGCAGTCATGGCAAGAACTAGACAGACGAAACCCCTAGCTACATCCACTATCATCTAAGAAAAATGAAACTGTATTTCTAGAGTTTCAGACACTTTCACACTAATAAAATGGGGGTTTCTGGGTGCTTTGGGTGGAGGGGTACAAGGAAGGCAGGGGGATTGTTTAGGGAACAGCCTGTCTACTCCTGGCTGATTCAGCACCTAACTGCATCATATAAAGCACCATCTCCTTTGCAGGCTACATTAGCCAGCTCAGGTTGCCATAACGAAACACCACAATAGGTGGCTTAAACAATAGTAATGTTTCTTACGTTTGTGGAGGCTGGAAGTCTGAGATCAGGATGCCAGTACAGTCGGCTTCTAGTAAGAACTCTCTTTCTGGTTTGCAGATGCTGCTTTCTGTATCCTCACTCAGGCAGGGAAAGAGAAAGCTCTTTGGTAACTCTTACAAGGAAATGAATCCTATCTGATCAGAGCCCTACACTTATAACCTCCTTAACCTTAATTACTTCCATAAAGCCCTACCTCTACAGTCACATTGGGGATAAGGGCTTCAGCCTATGAATTTGGGGAAACACAAACATTCATTCCTTAACACCAGCATTTATGTATGTGAATGAGGGGGAAAAGGCTAATGTGCCTTTAAGCAAGTACTCTTGATGTTGACCCTATTTCGTCGCAGCTCAAAACTAAAAATATGACTTTTGAGAAACATTAACTTTAAAATTTGGATACTTAGAGTCCTCTTAAGTATTAACCTCAAAATCATCTACTTAAAATCATCTCCACAATTTTAATTATTTTGCAAAACAGTGCTGGCCCTCCCAAACCAGTGGCTTGCATGTAATTATAGTACGATACTTTTCATTCACACTACAGTGATTTGGAACTTGGGACAATTCTGACATAAATGTTTACTTTACCTTCCTTAATCCTTTCTTGTGTGCACAAAGCAATACCAAAAACAGAATTTTATAGAAAATAGGAGCAGCAAATTAAATGCTTCAAGTCACAAACTATTTTCAAGGTCTTTCAAGCACCTGTGGAATGCTTTTCCATAAAAGTAACAGATACCATCATCTTTGTTAAAAAAGTACACTGGATATACAAATGAAATGCTAGGCCTTGAAAAAATTAAAATAATCATATGTGATCCATGATCTCAAAATGATATATACTACATATATATAAATGATAAATTCTTTAAATGTGACAGTGTGAGTTTTACTGTGGCTGAAGCAGTCAGGAAAGAATTCCCAGAGGTTGGACTTGAATCAGGGTTTTATAGGACTTAGATAAGCTAAAAGCAGGGGAAGGTGATTTAAATTGTTTTCATCTATTCCATAAAACAGATCTCCAAAGCGCTACAGGGCATCACATTACTGGTCCAGCTAAGTGTTCTTGAAAGCAATCAAATAATCTATAATTCAATTTCAGATTGGAATAGTCTATAATTCTGTGGTTTCACTAATTCTGACTATCCTTTGACTCACTCACCCAAAATTCCAGCAATTCTACCACATATATTGTGATTTACTTATTTTTATTGAAAACACAAAGTCATATTAAGGAAAAACACTTAAATAAATTAAAAATCATTCCACATTCCCCCCACACTAACACAATGGATTTCAGTTTGCATATTACCTTCTACATGCGAAAAGATTTTACAAAGTCACATAGTGCACATTCTCTTTTGTATTGTGCTTATGTTACTTACCATATCACAGACACATCCATGTGTTTACAGTCTTCCAAATAATTATTGTGGTGGGAGTATAATACTTCACTGTTTTCTTAGCCCACTTTCTTCCTTAACATGTAGATTATTTCCAATTCTTTGCTGTTATAAATAATGCAGACATAAACATCCTCATGCATTTACCTTTGTTTGTTTTGTTTTTATATTATTCTTTAGGTTAAAATCTAGGAGTAGAATTTATGGGACAAAGATATGGTCATTTTTGGGGGCTCCCTCTATGTAGTAGCATATTGCATTCCCAAAGGGTTGTGTCTATTTAAAATGCCATCTGAAATGAACGCATTAAATAGTCTCTTTCTATAAAAAAAAAAAAGAAAAAAAATCAGAAGCACTAGGCAGTTTTCAATTTCCACATTTAAAGTTAAAAATAATTACTGTATTTTTAAAAGGATGAAGAGTGTGGATAGATGGTCTAACAGATCACTAAAAGTTCAGATAACTTCAGCAATGCTTCCTAACTTTTCTCAAGTTTTGGCACACACAGAAAGTAATACTGTAGGCACACTGGGGAAAGTGGGCAAAGATGTTTCTGCCCAGAAGCTTCAGCCACCCAGGCTACCTCTGACTGCCCCAAGGGATATGGCGCTCCACATCTAGGCACATCTATGACCCAAAGTGCATGGGTCATGAAGCGCTAATTGAGGAGAGGTTAAGTGACTTGATTCAAGTTACAAAAATCTAGTTAATGGCACAGCTGGGAAATGAATGCAAATTTCTTCTCATCAATGTATTTTTTACTATATCACAACTGTTCTACATGCTTTCTGGCTCTAAAATTCAATTTCGTATGCAGATATATACCTATACTTAAGAATAAAGAGGATTTCATAGCATGCTTGAACTAAAGACACCTAAACTAGCAATTTACATCAAAGCTGAAAATTAAAAATAGCTCTTAGCATCAGCAAATATTTGACTATTTTCTCTGCAGTTTTTCAGATGTGCCATTCCTTTAAATTTAGTTTGTAAACTCTCAACAGTAATAATCTCTTGCACAGGATCTTGTATACTTCTTGTAGTCAGTAACTAAAGAAGAACAATAAATTATACACACTAAAAAGAAAAGAAAACTTAAAGTCAGTCCACATTCTAAATAAGTCTAACGGTGAAAAAAAAAAGTTGTTTTAAAATGTTGATTTTATAGAGGTAGAGAAGATTCCCTCCTTGAATTTCAAATTCCTTGCTAGCTAAACAGAACCTTAATAGACACTAGTACATTACAGGGTCATAGGAGACATTTCATTCCACAGAATGATTCTGACCTACACCAGTGTTGATGCTACCAGGAGAAAATTTCACTATAAAGGTATTTTACCTTCTACCAAGTATCCAACATTCCATATTACCTTTGAAAAGCAGAGATTATAGGGTGTTAACCTTACTGATTCAACTGTAAATATACATAGGATTTTTCTTGACCATTAATCACTGTACTAAAGTGAAGAGTGGGGGTTAGGCATGGGAATTTACCCATTATGTGCCAGGCCACAATAATAAGTAAGGGACTCCAAACCCTGCATTCTTTTTTTTTCTCCCACTACGCAGTGATTACTTGGTCATTTCTATGGATTCAGTCAGACATTATACACACAAACACACCCATGGGACCGCATAGCACTTGGAAGATTGCCCACTATTTCCCACTTATTAAGATCTGGATCATATTTCTCAATGCTCTGAAGATAAGTTCCTTTTGAGTAGGAATATCCCCCAGTGACATAAATACATCCATTCATGATGACGGCACCACACTCCATCCTCCTTTCCATCATGGGAGCGATTTCTCTCCATTCATTTTGTTCAGGGTCATAGCATTCCGTGATTGTAGTTTGTCCACCAACTAGATAGAGCTTATTTTCAAATGGAACTGAGCACAATCCATACTCTATTAAAAAGAAAAAAGCAAATTTTTATTAGGATAATGAACAAAAGAGATTCCTTAGGGTGATGATATAATAATCCCTTACAAGGCCGCAGACAAAAGTAGAGTAGTCTTGACATTTTGATTCCTCTACCACAACACTGAGCCATGAAATCCATCCCTGACATCACCTGATGCAGATTACCTGTCCAGCCATTCTCTCTCAGGTAATCCTTAATCTGACTTTGCAGGATGCCAGGGAAGAACTCATCCTCAGACCCTTCTGAGAGTTCCCCAGCACAGACACCTTTCATTCTACATCCACGTGTAACAGTTGTAGGGTCTCTCCGACGTTCTGACACAAAGACGTAGGAGGTAACTAGTGCAGGTTCCTCTAGGTCTTAGCGGCCATCCCTACCACCATCCCTATCATCTGTAGCCTCTGCAGCCACGGGTGCCGCACGGATGACCCTGCTTGCCTCTCTCACAGCGCTCGTCAAGTTAAGGACACAAGGAGTTAGAGAAGCACAACCAGACTAGTGGGGAACTACAGTCTATCATCTTAAGAACCCTGTGAAAGACGCTCAAAGGCAGAGGGCTGCTGTGTGAGGGCTGGATCCTGGGCTGGGAGTCTGCCTCTAGGTGGGCAAGCCTTCTGTGCTGTTTTAATTTTTCCCATTTTATGTGTCTCCCCCTCCACATGCAAACCTGCTGGCTCTTCAAGGCATCAGGCTCTTTTGCAACCTCACGTCCTCTCCCTTCCCAGGTCTGTGACTCGGGCGAGGCAAGCGAGGGGCCTAGAGCGCAAAACACAAGGCCACTCTGCTCTCACTCGCGGAGGGACTCCATTTCTGTGCCTTGAGTGAGCGTCTCTCCTCCCTCACCCTAGTCACAGGCATGCTGAGTCCCAGGCTTCTTCCACATCCCTATTTCTAGCACCACTACTGGCCTGTGAGTTCATTCTCTGGGAATAGCAACCAGAGGATTACACTTCAATACTTCCAGCTGCAGGATTTGTCAGGAGCACTAACGTTACAGTTTGCTGTCACTGAGCTGTTCCGTACGTCTAGAAACTCTTCTTTTCCCAAGTCTTTGCACAGCTGCCTCCTTCTTGTCATCTAGGTCTCATCTTATGATCATCTCCTTGGAGGGCCCTCCTCTGACCACCCAACCTGAAGTAGCCAGTCAGGCATTTCCACCACATCACCCTGTTTTAATGTTCTCCACAGCACTTCTCATTATCTGATGTCTCTTCTTTACTGTCCCTCTACCTTCGGTCAGCGTAGGACCTGTGTCCTGCCCACTACTCCATCCCAGCTGGAGAATGGCAAGTGTTTGGAACCTTTTAAGGACTCAATAAAAGGTTGTTGGATCAATGAATGAATTGTACTTTGTACCCTCTGTACCCAAATACGCACTCCCATTATACACTAAAAAAGCTTATCGGGGTGCCTGGGGGCTCAGTCGATTAAGCATCTGACTTCAGTTCAGGTCATGATCTCGTGGTTCATGAGTTTGAGCCCCGTGTCGGGCTCTGTGCTGACAGATCAGAGCCTGGAGCCTGCTTCAGATTCTGTGTCTCCCTCTCTCTCTCTGCCCCTCCCCCACGCACGCCCTGTCTCTCTTTCTCTCAAAAATAAATAAAAACATATAAAAAAATTAAATAAAAAAATAAAAAAGCTTATCAACCCTTCTTTAGAAAGAGAATGTACAATCAAAAATGTGATTTCCCCTTTAAGGATGCAAGTACATTCTTATCAGTAAAGTTTCTGCTATCTAGGTTGTGAAGGCCAAGAAAAATCTCAGAAGATGGACATTTGTGCTTTGTTGTTCTCAAGTATCTGACATCCAGGAAAATAAGAATTCTTCCACCTCTAAAAACCCCCTTTGTTACTTTCCAGTTATATACATGCAGAATTTTTTATAGAATTTAGTTGTTTCCGTACTTGTGAAATTAGAGAAATCATTCCATTAAATGGTCATGAAAATTCATGATGATTCAGAAATCTTATCCATTGGTGTTAAGTGATTCAACAATGAGTTCACTAGGCCTTTCTTAAATTTCACAAAAAAATCCTCAATTTGTGGTTCTTATGTGAAGAACAGTATCAAAAGGGGCCCTTGGCTGGCTCAGTCATTTGGGCGACTGACTCCTGATTTTGGCTCTGGTCATTATCTCACGATTCATGGGTTTGGGCCCCGCATCAGGCTCTTGAGCTGACTGTGTGAAACCTGCTTGGGATTCTCTCTTCCTCTCTCTCTCTCTGCCCCTCCCCTCCTCGTGCTCTCTCTCTCCCTCTCAAAATAAATGAACATTAATTTTTTAAAAACGTTTATTTATTTTTGAAGGAGAGAGAGACAGAGCACGAGCATGGGAGGGGCAGAGACAGAGGGAGACACAGAATCTGAAGCAGGCTCTAGGCTCTGAGCTGTCAGCACAGAGCCTGATGTGTGGGGCTCAAACTCACAAGCTGCGAGATCATGACCTGAGCTGAAGTCGAATGCCCAACCAACAGAGCCACCTAGGTGCCCCATGAAAATAAATAAACAAAAAAAATTTTTTCTTTAAGTATCTCAATCTTCCTATAGCAGGAAAAATGTTTAAGATAAGGTGATTCTTGGGTTTTTTCCTGTTACCCAAATACAACATAATGCTCTGTTTTTGCTGATGGAAACTTTTTCTTCCTCATCTGTAACTGCCTTTTTCTCTGTTGGTCACTCTACAAAGCTACTGAGCCTGAGGAACTGTGCCTTTATTGAGCTCCCAGCACTATCCATAACTATACCTAACACTATACACAACATGTGGGAAACACTCAGCAAACCTCTGTTGGACCAATGAACGAGTGAACAATTTCAAACTAAGTATAAGAATGGTACCATCTGTCATGGCTCAAAAAGTTTACACACAACTATTCAGTATAAATCCATAGCAGTCTGTATTTAGTATTCCATGAATGATATGAATAAAGCCATGTAGGGGCTCTGAGACAACCACGATATTTTCAGGTATTCAGTATACACTGAAATGATTTAGAACTTTTTCCTAAGATTTTTCTCACGGAAAAGAACTGTAAAGCTTATGTAATTTAACCTCTTTATTTTACTAGAAAGTAAAAGTCAAGAGCTTAAGCCACTGCCCAAGAGCAGTCATGTGAATAAATGGCGGAGCCAGAAAGAACTCTCTCCCCACTTGACAAGGCTCTCCATAGGTTTTTTTCTTTATCACATCCTGCTTCTTCCCTGTTCTTCCCACACTCTTCTTTCCCAGCTCATCCCTTAAATAGTGCTGTTTCCCAAGACTCTGTCCTTAGCTGTACTTAGTCCCACCCTTGCAGGGCACCTCAACCATCTCCACACCCACAGTCATCACCTCCAAGCAAATGACACCCAGATCTCTAAAGTCAGCCTCACTCTTCCTCCTGGGCCGCAGACCCACACTTCCCATTGCCTGCTGGACAGCTCTTCTGGGTGATCCAACCAGTCCTTCACAGTTAACTACAAAACTAAGTTCCAACTCAGCTCCTCTCCTCTGTTCCCACCACCTTCTCCTTCCCATGGTGAATCCATAATATTCCTCATATCTACCCGTTTTCACCTCCTACTGCTTCAGGCTTTCAGCATTTCTCACCTGGGTTATTATAACAGTTTCAGCAGACTTCTGGCCTTCTCCTAATCTATTCTGAAAGGCTCTAAAACCTTTGTTGGGTCACAATTTTTCAAATTCTCCTAACTGCCATTCAAAGCCCTCTATGGTATGCTCCTCCACTGAACTCTCCCATCCAATCTCTCATTCTACCCTCTCACATCCCATCATATACATCCACTCCCAGGTACTGGAATATACCTGGAACTTGCCCCTCTGCCTCCCATCATTAACTTCTTCCCTCAAAAAATACCTTAATTGTATCCATTCTTTAAGGACTAAATCATAACAGTGAACTCCTGGAAGACTTCTAAGATTTTCAGATTCCCCTTATTCTCAAGCTCTTTCTACCCTCAATTTCAACGGCACTTATTTCTATGACTGTCTTATATTCCTGTTATGTATGTATATTTCCTTCTAAATTCTGAGCTCCTGTAGCAGTAGAGACTCACTCTTAACCATCTTTGTGTCTTACATAATAACTTGAATGGTACCCTTCCTGAGATAAGGTCTCAATAAATGTTATCTTTAATTTAATGGAATTGGAGTCCCCTGTTTTTTAACCAAACAAAACCACCACCCTTGGGGCACCTGGGTGGCACAGTGGGTTAAGCATCTGACTTCGGCTCAGGT